ACATATCACTGAAAAGTACATGGATAGACGTAACTTTCGTGGGAAGAAACATATTTGCCCATTTGACCTTTAAGGGGTCAAAATCCACTTGATAACTTTTATGATTCTCTATTGGAGCGTTTTTGACCCCCAAGGAAGGGTCATTGACCTCCCATGGGGTGACATTTTTTTTCCGTCTCATTAAGGGCTAAAACTCTGCCGAAGAAAGTAATCGATTATCTTTATTCGTTTAGGACATAGATAATCGTTTTTAGGTCACGGTACACCCGGAACTTCGGGAGGGCAAAAAAACGCCAAACATGACTCGTCGCAAAAATGCTTCAAATTATATTTTTTTTTTGGGCCCCTCTATCGATTAAATACAAAAATTCAAAAATCGGCGTCTAACATATTTAAAGGTTTACTGGTAAGTGGTAACTAAAAAAAAATGTGGCAGCATATAAAATAAAATGTGGTATAAAATGAAATACACGGAACATCTTGATTGGCTGTTGTTTTAGAATTGATACGGAATTTTATCTATCTATGTATGTAATCTGGGAGTCGCAGACTGTATTGTTTCATTTGGTTTATGTATATGGCCGAATCCAAAATGTTTGGACCGACGCCTAGTAGTTTCATTACGCATTTGTGCTTATACATTTCTGTACTGAAGACTATTTCATTTATTTGGCTATGTTTGTATAGGAACATTGAAAATAATCAATTGTTTTTCTCCATTTCACCCATTTAAAAAGAAGAAGAAATTAACTAAATTCGAACCACCGTATGCCGCTCATATCGTTTCGACTCTATCATTATGCCGCGCATCGTCTACAGATCTGTGTATACATAATATTATAATATAAATATGCAAGTGGTTTATTGTATATAATATAATAATTTCCGTATTAATTTCAAAAAATCTTCAATCCATCTCATGTCTCGTGTGTGTAATCGTTTATCACCTTTTAGTATTCTGTGTAATAATATAAAAACACTTAGAAAAATTGGACACATACACAGTTAGTAGTTTTGTTTCTTTATCTCGTTCTCGTTTTGTTTCTTTATAGTACGTAGTATATTCATCTATTTCATATTTGTTTACAAAAAAATAAACAAAGATTCATTTTGTTTATCGCACCATTTGCATATAACAGTTAGCGTTTTAACATGTTTTATAGTGGCCGTTTAAATCGAGTTTTTTTCTTTTACTGTGGAAATTGAAAATTATCTGAATTACCACAAATATGAAAACGTTCAACGAGCAAAATGACGAAATTGCCACCACACAAATGAGACCTGTCTGACCCAATCGTATGGAGGGAGTTTCGTGATTTTACATCAGCCGAAGTGTTCAACATAAAATCTATTAGAAGTTATTGCTTATATTTTTCGGGAAATCTATTGTATCTCGTTTCTATGTTCAGCTTGGTTCAGTTGGAAAAGTTGCTTCTTATTTTCTTACAATTTAAATTTACTGTTGGTTTGCATCGTTGTCTCAAATGTGAATATATATATAAGTATCTACTTTGAATTTGATTTTTCATTCACCTTCTTTTATAGAAAAAATGACACATTCCTACTGCTCATTTTCTACGCTAAAAAGTGTGTATGTTTTTCTATTCTCTTCAATTAAATCGCTTGCTTAATTTCTTTTTTCTTCTTCTTTTACGTTAATTTGTACAATTGGTTTCAAGTTTTTCAAATAAGATTTTATGCATATTTTATATAACTTTTAACTAAATGGCCAGTATCTTCTACTTATCAAGCAGAATTCGAGTCATCTACGGAAGATGAACAAACTGGCACCAGAAATGCATTTGAATGAAAAAGATTGGTGAATGGTTTGCCATCTTCTTCTTTTTTTCGTGTGGTAGAATTAATTTACGAAAAAGTGTGTTTGTTAGAGATTAGATCTACAATTGTCGGAAACCTAATTGATAGACTCTTAAATAGAGGTCGAAATGGAGAATATAGAAGCTATATATTTTGATTTCTGTATAATTTGTGAACATTTAGTGTGAGCCGATAGAATTTAGTACTTTTATTCGTTTTTTTTTCTTTCAATTTTATTTATATTAATTATCGATGTCGACTCTCTACCAAGGCGTTGGTTATTTTCTTCTGTTCAAAATTGTTCAACAAAAACACACCATCTGAATCATCCATTGCATAAACTCTATAATCAGTCTGATGCGCAAACAGTTTACCAAAATTAGATGTATCCTCAAAAATATTGTGTGTGTGTCGGGTGGCTTTTCTCATCGGTGGTTTTATGTCATTCCTTAATTCTATGAAAAAGCAACATTTTCTTTTCGCCAATTTCTGTTTTTTTTTTAGTGAGAAAATTCGATACAATTTTGTTGGTCAAACGTGCAACTGAACATTGAGCCGAAGATAATCGAAACACTTCTACATAAATAGAGGATGAAGAAGATAGAAAGTGGATTTACATTCGATTCTAAACACTCCTATTAAAAGTCGTTAATCTAATTGATAAGTAACTGGGCCTAATTTGTATGTATTTTTTTGTTTTCGTTTATACTCGTTAGAATATGGACCGGATTCTATAAAACGCAACTCATTCTCGATCTAGCAATGCGGCGTTATTTTAGACAAAACATTCAAGACTGTCACCTACAATTGTTTCAATTAATGTAATTATTTATGAGGTACATATAATTTGGCACAGTGAATGTGTTGTCATAATTCTTCATCATCTTCTTAAAATCCAGAGGAATTTATTCCACTTTTTAAAAATATTAAGCTTATCGGAAATAAAACTGAATAATAAATATTGGATTGAAACAACGTTTGAATCTGAAAAGCATGGAAATATGATTTCATCTTACTTAAATGAAAAGATAAAAGTAAAAATTCATTCTAAAAAGACTTATGCTACTGACAAACTGAAACAAATTACTCCTTTCTTATGCTATTGAAGTTTTAACTACTTCAAAATGTTCGATGTTAGTTGGTTTTTTTTTTTTAAACATGTTTTTTCAGCGATTTCATCCATTTTGAAAATGGTGAGTTCGCGTCTAGGCACTCCATTCGATTCTTACTAAACACAATCTTCTGGTACATTCGACTTATCTAAAAACCATTACAAACTCTCCCTCTCGATCGTTAAATCGGCGCTCGCCAAACCTTACTCTAACTCGTTTTTTCTCTCTTTTGTTTCGTCCCAAAGTGCACAACGTCTTTTCTTCTTGTTTGAACCGAAAATTGAACCTAAACTCACTGAAGTTTCATCTCTTAATTTATCAAAAATAAAATGATTAAAAACTATAATATGTAAAAAAAATGGTAACTTTTAATTTGCCTCTAAGGTTTCATTAATTTTTTTTTGTTGATTTTTGTTTATATCAGACATCCAAAGCATTTTTGATCGATTGAATTTTTGCCTAAATAAATTTTTATTTAATTTAAATTTTGTGTTGTGTTTTTACTTGAAAGTTTGAAACATTGTTGTTTTTGTGTTACGTCGACGAGAGTTTCGAAATAGAACATTTACGAATAGTAAAAGTGGAAATTCTACAAAACGAAATGTATTTGCTTCGAGCTTGAATTTTTTCATTTGTTTAATTGAATTTTGGTTGAGTTATTGAGAAAGTGATAGAGAAAGAGAAGCACATAGAGAGCCAGCGACAACTTCGTCATTTCTTCTTTCGTTTTTTTTTTAAATATTTCGAATAATTTGCTATTTCCTTAATGGTTTTTGTTTTGTGGTTTTGTACAAAGCTTTTTCTTATCTTTTTTGAAAAAATGCGAAGTGTGTCGCTTTCGCTATGCGCATTATTCTCCTCCCCTCCGATCTTCTCTTCATACGTTGTTCACTTTTGTTTTGTTTAAATTTTAAATATTTGTTTAAATGTTCGGTTAAAATCACAGACATCAAATTGCTGAAAAATCTACGTTAGTTTAGTAATTTGTGTGCTATTTCGTTTCATCTATTGAAACCAAGTGTCTTCATTTTATATTTTTTTTGCTTCTTTGTTTATTTCTTTTTTATTTATTTATTAATAAGTTTATTTTATTTATTTAGTTTGTTCGTTAATCTATTTCGTTTCATATTTTGAGTGAAAAAATGGTTCTGTAAAAAATATAACCGTTATTTTGTATTCAGTTTCTAAATATAAAAAAGATTTTTTCGTCGCTGCTGCTGCTATTTGTGCGTGTGTACATAATTGGCCGGGGTGCCGACCAATATGCAACCACAATTTTGTATGCACCAAAAACGTGCACTAACGCACTCTTCATGTGCAGAATGAAAATCTCCATACGAATAGAGAGAAATAGAGTACGGTTTATGTGTGTGGGTGTGGGTGTCAATTGGTTTCAACAGTTTTTTTTTTCTTCTTTCAATTAATTAATCGATTTATTTCATCGTTTGAAATCGATAAACTGGTATTGTTTCAATAAATATGGCGATAAAATAAATGAATGAATTGCAAAAAACAATTTGTTTCACATAAAAAATATGTATAGTATAAAGAATTCAATTGAAAATACACATATTGCATTTTGTATGTTTTTCAGCTCTCCAGTCTCTTCGGCTCGCTTCTCTGTATAATAACATGTGTGTATAAGATTTTTCTTTCATCATTTCGCTTTTAGTTGTATATTGAAAATTAAATATTCTCTATTATGTCTTTTCTATTAATTGCAGTGGTGCGTTAAAATATTCTTATCGTTTCTATTTCACATTCTACGGTTTTTGTTTTCTGGCACAACGTTTCGATTAATTCATTTTCCTTCCTCCCATCGGCTACCATCTGTGTCAACACATGGTAACCATCTCCATCCATTTTGGACACATTGTGTGTGTGTGTGTGTGTTCCATCACTGATTCCACATTAGCACATTGTAGAAATTATGGTGTGAATAATGAATTTGTAAAAAAATTGGAACAAAAAAATATTCATCTGTAAAAATTTCTTATTGCTTGTGTTTTTGTTTACTTTTTCCATGTTTGTTTGTTTGTTTCTTTCTTTCTTTCTTTCTTCAGTTTTCTTTGTGACATATTTTAAATTTCCAATTTGTGTTTTTTTTAAATTTTCCTTGTTCGTTTTGAGAATTTATTTTGTTCGATGAGCTTTGTCTTTGTTTTGCTTATATAAATGGTTGAATTCGATTGGCAAACCAGGCCATCCGTAAATTACTTACTGGCTGCCCCTCGGAATTCGTTTAGATTTTCTGACGAATATTATTATCTGTTGTGGAGGATTCGCCGCCTCCGTCCCTCATTTCAGCGTGGCGTTGAATTATGTACATGCGTCGTAAGATGCTTTGACAAATAATCAGCACGGGCAAAGCATTTGCCACACGATTCGCAATGGTACGGCCTTTCACCAGTATGGATACGCAAATGACGTGTCAAATCCGATTTTCCTCCAAATGCTCTGCCACAAAATAGGCACACAAATGGCCTCTCTCCAGTGTGCTTTCGCACGTGTAGCTTCAAATTTTCCTTCGATCGAACACATTTTCCACAGAACGGACAAGCAAAGCGGCTATAGCCAATGAAAATGCACCAAAGAAAAAGTGGCGAAATGAGAAAAAAAAATTGTTAGACCAAGACATCGAGAATGGAGTGAATATATAGAGTGGGGGAAAAAGTGGAAAGAGTGAGTTAGGGATAATAATGAATGTATGTACCTTCGATCTCGTTGCTTTTCGGCGGCATCAACACGCAGGAAGTTCAGAATGGAAGCTTCTTGGGCGTTTAAGCCGAGCATCTGATTACTTGGAATACGTTCAGCATTTATTAAACTATTTATTGTTGAGGTAGATGGTATTGCAGTTGAGGTTTCTGGTTCGTTGTGACGAAGATGATGCATTTGATGAAGTGGTTGTTGTGGTGACGCCACCACCGATGGCTGTTGTTGAAAATGTAAATTCAACGATGAGTTTGGATTATGAAGATGCGGCATGAATCTTGTCGGTTGCTGAACGGAAGAAAATTTTCATTTATTTTAAAATCATTTTGACTTGCTGCGGTCAGCAAAACTAGATTAAAAATGTACCTTTAGTGTAAAATTCTCCCCACGCGAAATTGGTCTCTCTGGAATGTGTGTTTGTTTGTCCGCATTATCAAATTTGGCCTTAATCACATTGCTCAAAATGGTGTTGGCCATTGATAAATTGGTTGGAGTATTCATATCATTGTCATTATTAACAATCGGTGAATGAGCAACATTGTCCGGTTCCTCGTCGTCTTCTTCTTCCGTTTTTATTGCGAATGTAATGTCAGTCATTTCTTCGGTTAATTCATTTGAACTGGTCACCATTTCATTGTTATTCGTTTCATTGTTACTGCTGACAGCGGTGCTGTCGCGTTCTTTTCGATTGTCACCAAGTGTTTGACCAAAACGTCGTTCAAATTTACCGTGCAAACGCTCAAGAGCATGGTTCAAACGATGTTTTTTGAACGATTTCAAATATCGAAATTGCATTCCGCACACATCGCATGTAAATAATTTATCAGCCGGCAAACGGGCACGATGATTTTGTTCGCGATGTTTCACGTATGCCGACCGATAACGATACGATTGACCGCATTGCTCGCAAATAAACGGTTTTTCATCCATTGGACCGAGATTGGCATGTTGCAATGCTGCATGCTGTTCCAGCAACCAAACCGACGGGAAATTTGCATTACACACAACACACTTGGTCTCTTCTTCAATCGATGAACAATCCTGGACAAAACAAAGAAATTAAAAAAACACACAAAATTGATTTCTTCTCTCATTCCCATCATTTCACCAAACTTTCTTAGTTTTCTTCGTTAGTATACATACCGATGATGTCGTTTCATTGCAATTAAAACGAAGCGAATCCTTAAGAAAGGAACTTTTTCCGAGAATTTCGTCGAGCGGAATTTTAGCAGCCGCATTCAATTCATCGTCATCATCGGGTATGTCTTCATCATTCACGGTCATGCTTAAATTTTGGACGGTTTCTTCAGTTTTCTTCATGGATGGTGACGGTGACTGTGAACTTTTCTTCGACAATGTTATCTCAATTTGTGGAGATTGCTGGCGACTGAGCGACTGGCGTCGATCTTGAGCATTGAATGTGAAACGATTTAAATTTTTATATGAATTCGCCTGTTTTAAGAGCTGCTCTTGTCCTTTGAACAGCAAATCAAATGTTGGATTCATGCGAAAGTATGCCGATGACAATGGATTCGGTGAACTTGAGCTTGACTCTTTTGACGGTAGTATTCCGCGATAACTACTTTTTCGATTTAGGAAAAATTAAAAGAATTTCAAATTTGGTTTTTTGGTCTCATTTTCAGCAAAAATTGAATACAAATTGTTTTCGGTCCGATTTTTTTAATTAAAAAAAGGAAGTAAATATCATAAAAAAGTAACTAAACCTACCGTAATGCCTCTTCGGCCAACAATGTTTGATGATGTAGAATGCTCAGTAGTCTGGACGGATCAGCATCAAATAGACCAATGCCCAAAGCTGACAGTGGATATCCGAATGGTGGAGTCGGCGGTGCGCTCAAACTTTTGCTCAAACCAGGCGACATGTGCAAAAGTGACGGCAAACTTGAACGAAGATCATTATCTTCCATCTATAGGTCACAAAAAAAATGAAAAAAATTCCTCAAAATCCATAACAAAATCTAAAGAATTTCTGATTTTTAAAAAATATACCACCCCAAAATAATAGATTTTGATGATCATAGACACAGTGCATGCATGACACATTTACGTGCAAAAATGAAATGATGATGATGATGATCAAACACCAATAATATATTAAAATCGAACAAAAAAAACGTGGAAGAAAACAACGACAATTCTAATTTCCTTTATTTCTTTTTCAAATGCATTGTTTGCTCTTTTATTTCATCAAAGTTTCTGATTTTTTATTTGGTGACAATTTTTTTTCATTTTCTTTCATTTGTTTCAACAGACTTTCTTAATCCTCAAACATTCCGCCATTTTGCAATTTTTCTCGTTTTAAATTTGTGAGCTTTTCGTGTGTATGGTTTTTTGTCAGTTAATTTATAACTATGATATGCATTCATTTGTGTATGAGAGTGTGTATGTGTTTTCCTGGGGGGAAGAGGCTGTTCAGCTCTCAATGAGTACACTTGTGCAGAGTCAATTGAGTACACTCGTGCATCGCTATTTCGGTCGAATATATAATAGTAATTTTCGGAGATGTGCTATTTCCATTTTTCTTACTTGTTCTTTGCTAAACTTCGTCCAATTTTTTGTTACCCTTTTTATCAGTGTTTTTTCTTTGTATTAAGCAGATAAACAATTGACAGTGGCTGTTTTGTTTTCTTTTGTATAGTTCATTCGGTTCTTATTAGAATAATATGTATTTGAACGCTTTCTCATTTTCACTCTTATAAACTCTTGATACCAACACTCAGTGTCCAAAATTCTTTTTCTAATTTCTCTCTCTCTCTCTCTCTCTCTCTCTCGCTTAAATCACTTTGCCGGTTGACTACTAATCTGTTGTTGTTGTTGTTGTTGTTTGTCTGGTTTTTTTTTCTAAATATTTTATATTATAAATGCATGATTAATGGTACATAGTTGTTTGTTTGCTTATTTTTGTGTGATTTTTTTTTCTGTTTTCTTCACTTATCTATTTTATCATTGTTTTTTTCCCATATCTCTATTATAATTACTATTAACAGCTAACAAAATTATCTCGTAAAGATTAAAATTGAATTAGTTTTTTTGTTGTTGCTTTTTTTTTGTTATTTCAAAATAAATAAATAAATTATGTACTCGATTAACATTTTTCACTAAATACACGCTAAATTTAATATTATTTGAATCGACGAGAGCACAAAAAAGAAAAAAAATTAATTGAACAAAAATACACAACGAAAATGCATCGTTTCTTTTGTTGTACGGAATGTGACAAAAAGATATTTCTATCGTATATATGTATTGACACTGATTCGTGGTTCATATTGTTGGTTGTGTATGTGTCTGAAGTGATTGAAATGCTGTAATTTAATTCATTATGGCGGTTTTTCTGTGTTGAGTTTATTTATTTCATTTAAATAGGAACATAATTTCATTCTATATGTAAAACATGACACTTGCCACAAATGTCATGTTAGTTATCCTGTTTTGAGGGCATTTCATTTCTATGGATTGCATGGAAATGATACACTTTCGCTATTTAAATTAGCTTAAACATAAATCCTACGAAATCAACTGAGAGAAATTTAAATAGAATTATATACGCTTTAATGGAATATGTTTTCTGTTTTTTTTTTGCGATAATATATTTCTTTATCTTTATATTCTGTGTGTGAGTGTGTGTTTATGAGAGTGAGCTTGTGAGTTTGTGGCTTTGTGCTTCTTCCATCGCTTTTCGCTCTCTTTTCCTTGGATACAGCGCTATTCCAAACTATTTATTTCTTTCATTCGGTGCACGAAATGAAACATTTCGGTAAATTCGGTGCTTATTTTGTATATTTTGAGAGAGTCTATCATAATCGGCAATTAATTTACTTGGAAAAATCAACCGAACTACAAAGCATTTCAAGGGGGCGAGATTGGTTCTGCACTGATTTGAGATAAGCTTTTATTCTCAACCAATTTTTTTTCTTCTTCAATCGAATTATTCGCTTTTTAACAAAAACGTCTTTTCCACAGACCGAAAAATTCTAAATTCTATGTTTCTTGTCTAAAATTGTAAAAAGGTGTTGTTATGTTATGTGCAGAATTGCGAAAGTCAAAAGCTACTTTGCGAATTGACAATTTCACGTCACGTGTGAACGTCTTTTAAGAAGAACGAACGAACGAAACAAAAAACAAATATGTTAGCTTCAAACGTCGAAGTCAAACGATTATATCGATTCCATCCCAACACGGAAAAAAATTCAACGCAATTTCTCTCTCATTTTTTTCTTCTTCTATTTTTATCTAATGAATGCATGACATCAACGCGTTTTTTACGAACTTCTCTGGTGCATTTTCTTCTGTCTCTCTCTTCGAACGTGTTTGATGCTTAAATTCTTTTCCGCTAATTGTCTTAAATATCGGATCATTACACTAATTTATTCATACGTTCGCTAGATATAATGACTTATATATGTTTTATGATATAATAAACATTATTTGTTGTTGTTGTTCTTGTTTGTTTTCGGGATAGGCACTACAGTGTATTTAATTATATATTTTTTATTTGTTGTCTTTAATGTCAATTGTTGTTGTTGTTTTTTTTTTAAATTACACTTTTTTTACTCATTTTTTTTATCGTCGCAATGAAAAAATCGTTTTTTTTTTTTGTTTTGTGTGTAAAAATAGCCTCGGTTCATGTGACAATTGGGATTTTCATTGTATGCATCTTTCCAACTAAATATAGGTGTAGATATTTACGGTTTGCTCAATAATTGTTTATTTACAATATGAAATGTGTGGTGTATGTATGTGTATTTTGTTTTGTTTGTATGTGGGTTAGATTTGAAAAATAAATCCAGTTTTTCTTATTAATATTTTACATTGGCTCATCACATTTTTCATTTGTTATGAATCAACAATGCCGATTTCATTTCACAATTCAAAATAAAAAAGAAACATCAAACAGTTTGTCAAACACAATCAACTGAACGTCACCTGTATGGGATTGTTGTTGGATGTATTTTTATCATTATTATTATTCTTTTTTCTTCACTAAATATATCAATTTCTATTGAAAAAAAACAAATTTCACTTTTTCAGCTGCTTGTATTTTATGTGTATGAACTTGTATGTGATTCAGTGGAGGGGAAAAGAACGCAAAAATATGTTACAACTATTATCCATTTTTATTCCTATTTTATTTATTCAATATTTGTAACCGGTTTAAGGTAAATTAGCTTGGCACTCAAATTATTATGGTATATTTGTGTTGATCATGTCTATTGCAGTGGTGTAATCTTAGTTTATATATCATTTTTCTTCACAGGATATCGAAGGATCAGACGGGATGCAGAAATTGAAATAAAACATTTTGGGAACAATTGAAATTGAAAACGAATCCAGTGCTTCAGAATGTTCAAGTGTATGAAAAGTTGGAAAAATCAAAAGTTTTCATTGAATTTCACTGAAGTATGATTTCAATCATCTGAAATATCTCATTCGGCTGAGCTTTGCTGCTATTCAAATTTCGTATGAGAGTGTGTTGGTTTATAATGTCTCATTCATGTCGAATAGCCAACAATAAGCTTAGACATATAATATATTTCAGCTGGTGGAACACACCCAATTGAGGCGAAAAAAATCAATTGAATACGGCGCTTGCCCCTTCAATTGAGCACACCAGGCCAAACAAGCCCGCAAGCGTTTTTTTCATTATCAAAAAGCTCATTCAAATGACAAATGCACCGAAGCGAATGACAACAAAAACTATAGCATGTGTAATGTGTTCTGATTTCACTGAATTTAAGATTGAAATGCTTCAAAAAAAAAATCGTCAAATTCAATAAAAAGTGTCTCGGATCCTTCGATTAAACATTGTTGAAGAGAAATCTTTGTGGTGAGAACGAATATTCATTTGTTTTGTATCAATATTAAGTGTAATGATTGTGTGAAACCGTTGCTGAAATAGCTATTGTACGATAAATGGATTTGTGAAATTGGGCAAAAATCTACAAGTTAAATTAAGACGTTGTTTGCATTTATTGTGTAGTTCCTAGACAAAGTCAACGATCACACAGTGTTCAAAACAAATAGTTGGGTATCAGAAAATAGGATGATCGATTATATTAAAAATACAATACAAATTTGTTTTGTTCTTCATCTTCTTCATCTCTTTTTTTTTTTATCTAGTTTATAAATAACGTCATTGTTGTTGTTGTTGTCTTTGAGCAGGTATATAGCTATTGTTTGTTTTGTCTATGTTTCATATTGACTATTTTCACAATGGATTGATCTATTTTCACAGTGTTTATGACAAATTGAGAAAAAAAAACTAATCGATAAATAAAAACAGATATCTATCGTAATTGTTTTGTAAATACATGTTGCATCTCATCAATTAAACGGAATAAAAACTGAAAATAGTATCGTGTTCGCGTGTATTGTATGCGCGTGAACTCGATTGGCAGAAACCAAAAAGAGAGAGAAAAAAAAAACAGAAAAATTAAACAAATCACGTTTCATTCCTATGCTTATATAAATTGTAACATTTGCAAGCATCTCAATGTGCTTACCGTATCTCTATTGTTGTACATGTCTATAAATCAACAGAAAAATATATGTGTGTATGGTACTTTCGTAAATGTGATGACGATAAATTGCTTATGTTCTCGTTTCCTTTCTTTTTCTCTGATCCACTTTTGCATCTAATATTATAATTGTGTTCTGTCAATGATTTATTGGCTTACTTCATTTTTTTCTCCATTAATAAATTGTGTTTAATTCTAACCAAATTCTGGATTTGGCCATCGGTTTTTCTTCATCCTGTGTGTCGGTAAATTCTATTGCAATTGCTATTGTGATATATGGTTTATTTGTATTTTGGTGTATGTGAAGGTATGCGTTTGTGTGTGTATTGGTTTTTATTTCAGTTATGTATGGAAGAATTTGAGATGCCCTGAGCTATTTCTGTGTGTAT